AGCTCTGAATTTTCATGACTTTATTCAATGTTTAAGGGGGGTATATTGTTGCCTTGCATAGTTGAATCACAACTGAAAAACATTCCCATCCAGCCTGTCTGATTGTACATGATTTCTAAGAGAATCAGACCATTCCCAGGTCCCAGAGTTAGTCTGCGTGGATAATCTGCAGATCATCTGTTTTAGCCTTAAGACTATAAGACTAACTTCCCATTTCCAAGACAGAACTTGAAGAATCTTCTCTTTCCTTTAAAGAGGTAAGTCTTCCTGTAAGTTAGTTGAAAGCAATCAAAGCAAGCTTTAATGCAGTCTCCTGTCCTTCCTGTGGGGAATACAGGAGAGGCTCCCCAGCCAAGCAGGTTTACACCACTGTAGGCAGGCTGGGTGGTCTGCTCACAGAGGGGATGGGGGGAGGAGGTTTCCAGGCAGCCGGAGCATCCCCAAGGAAACCAGGGTCCTCTAAGGTGCACAAGGGGCACCAGTTAGTCTCAGTGAGTTCCTCACTGCTTGGCTCGCTGCCCTGAGACGTGGTCACTAGGGTCACTTTATTAGCAGAGCCAACAACACAGTCCTGACCTTTAGGAAGAGGAACTGGACATTCAGGAGCTGGTTGTCTGGGCTCCCAGTCATCATTTAAGAAGTTATCATAGGAGGTCAGTTTGATTCTTACATTCCAAATATTGATGCTTAAATTCAAATTGACTTTGAACAAAAAACCCGAGGACCATCTGGCAGCAGAGAGCCTGATGAGGACAAGGGAGGCATACTAACTGATATAAATCACACTTAAGAGAGCTCCCAGATAAGACTCGATTTCATGTCATCCTGCCTCCTTATTCTCAAAACTCCGTCCCTACACACCTCCCCCACCCAATCCTGCTGGGGGTTCCAATCCCAGTACTTCTGATTTTAGTTGTTTATTTAGCTGGCTATGTGATTTTGAGTAAGCTGTTTCCCTGAATCTCAGTCTCTGCATCCGTGGAATGGGAATAGCAATGTCTAGCGCACAGACATGAAATACATGATAGAAGCAAGGGACCTAATGGAAGCACTCAGTAAGACTAGAACTCCCAAGTTACAAGCCTCATTCTATTTTCCATTTAAAGACATTTGTCTCTCAGTTGCCTCGATATTTCATCCACATATATTATGAAATAAATGATTTAAACACAAAGTTAATTAAACGTTTATAGCACTAGTCATATTTATTCCAAGTTCTTTTTCCAGAGACTTAAGGAGGCAAAATAAAAAGATACAACACTGTATGATGTTCGATCACACATCTAGTTTTAACATACGTTGATAAAAACCTTAACTGTATAAATTATGTATTTAGTCTGTATTTCCTGTTTAAATACTTCAAATACATTTTTTGACCATTCTGAAATGTTAGTCCCAATATTTTAAGACATGACATCATCCAGTAAGAAGTAAAAGCATTCATACAATGCCATGGCCCTATGTGTCATTGATTAGGCAAAGAGCTACTAAACAGATAATAATGTTTCACCTTATAAAGGGAAAAATTTTAACCAAAGGTTAATTTTTCTTATTTGACTGAGAAAGCCGAAGTTGAACCAATGTGACAACTGCTGGATAAAATGTGGTAACTGAAGCATAAGGAAACTGCTTTTAAATCTTTCATAATGAACACCCTTTTACCTCCTCTGCCCCACAGACTGTCTTACTCTGTCTGTCTACTCAGCTTAAGCTATGGATTTAACACATGATACATTTGCCTTAGCTTTGCATAGCACTAAGATGATACGTTATTTTTATATGAACCAAACTACTATCAGCAAGAATGTTAAGGTGTTGAAATGCACCATGATGTGCTTTTAAAATGGTTGATACTTTTCCCTCTGAAAATTATTGCACTTGATAACGGAGCCTCCTTGTGGGGAATTAATAGTACTTCAGTCTTTCAAATCACGGGTAAAACGTTATATTAATTTTTCCCCATTCACAGTGGAAGCGTATGTAGGAGTGCTCGCAGGGAAATATGTATTTGCCTGTGGACCCCTGACATCCAGAGATCGGCAGGCCCTTAATGACCACCAGGAGCGGTGAACTCTGCCGACTCTCCTTTGGTTTGTCTTCAGTCCTTGCAGCTAAAAGTAAAGCAGATTAACATTTTTTTTTCTTTGTTAGGTTCTTTGGAGAGAAAACAAGGTGAACAACAACTGTTGACTTTTAAACTGGCCTATGTAGTGGGACCCTTGAGAACATTATTAGTCAGGTGTGTGTTTTGCCTTAATCTAGCAGAGATTTCTCTACTTTTGACCGGAGAGCATATTCCTGAGAGGAAAGGTAGCCTTATTTAACAAAGCCCAGTGCTTTGGGAGAGAGATGCCAGCCATCCACACCAGCCAGCTCAACTTTATCAGTGAACATGGTAACAGCTCTTACATTCTGGTGCCTGTGCTTTCTTGACCAATGACAGGGATCCAGCTGAAGGAGGAAGAGTCACGGACAAGGGAGCAGTAATGTAAGATTATCTTCTACTCCTCGCTCATATGTTGAGAGGATAAAACAAGATACTGAATGTGAAAAATTATCTGAATCCAAGATAGAGAGGTTTAAAAGTAAAAAGGTAAGACTGGCTTACAGTTTGAGTTTTTTCCAGGTTTTTTTTTTAACTACTCAAATGCACAACTTAGAAGTACCTCCTATGGTGGTATATGTTCAAGGGCCCAGGCCAGTGACTCAGGCCTCACTCAGAGGCTACTGGGCAGAAAAGGCAGTGCCTCCAGCCAACAGGCCTGAAAAAGCCAAGGGTTCATTGCAGGGAAAAAAAAAAAAAGAAGGTAAATGATTTTACTCCCAAGACCAAGTAGAGGGATCTGCTCCCCTCTTCAACACAGACCCCTCAAAATGCTCTTTTGTGGTTTATTTTTACCATTTATTTCTAAAATACATGATTATAAAAATATAATAGGATAAATTATTAACCGAAGAATCTTATATTGTTTGGTAAAAATATTATTTAGTAGTAATATTTAACAGGTATCTTTTCAGATTTCAATACAAGATGATTATCCAAAAATAAGGTCACTCTAAATATTTTATAACAGACTTTTTTCTTTAATGAAATTTGTAGATATAATCTCACTTTACTAAATACAGATTTCATAATAAAAATCAGCATTTGTTGCCCATTTACTATGGGGAGGCATCATGCTAGGTGCCCTATATGCACACACAGTATGTAAATTACTCCATGTTTCTTCCTAGGGCTATTTTTCAGACTTGAGCACTAGGAGGTGGAGCCCAAGTAGAAAACGGTGGTATTCCCAAACTGAGAATGTACAGATCAGAGTTCAAGGCAGCTGAACTGACCAAAAATTTGTAGACCAGAGTATTAGAGAAAAGGGAGTTACGTGATGGATGGAGACAGAAGTCTGCAGGGGGACTCTCCCAAAGGTCGTTACAGAACTGGGGTGTACATATAGAGAAAAAGCTTGCCATGAAGCCTAGGAGAGATTGGCTACTGTAAAACTGGGAGATGAATGAACAGATACCGGACATTATATTGGACTTAATGACGTTGGAGTTATAGTCCAGCCAGAGTGGAGAGATTTCACAGAGCATATTGAGCATTCTTTTAAGACAACAGAAAGACTAACTTGGCAGGGAAAATTATGTCCTCAAATAAGAGTCATATCCTAGGACTAAGGACAAAACTAGACTGCCTTAAACAAAGATTAAAAACCAAGCCTGAAACGATCTAAAGGACACACTAGTAATTTAAGTAACACACCCTTTAAAGGAAAACACAAAATCCACTGTCTACAATGCATTGTCTCAATATCAAACATATAATCAAAGATAACTAGACAAGAAAAAAGGAAAGGAAATATGAACCATAATCAAGAAGAAGCAGACCCTTCTTCTTGATTATGAACAGATCCTTGTATAACCCAGATGTTTGAAACAGCAGGCAAGGACTTTAAAAACACCTGTTATAAATTTGATTAATGGCTTAAAGGAAAAGGTGGACATACTGAATGAACATGTGGGAATTCTCAGCAAAGAGCTAGAAATTCTATTTATTTCCAATATAAATTTTTCCTATTCTAGAACTTCATATGAAATCACATAGTATGTACTTTTGTACCCAGATTTTTCTCTCGGCAAAAGGTCAAGCATTAATCTGTCATTGTGTGGCAAGTAGCTTATTGCAAAGTAAACAATGAAGTCATTGGATGCTTATACCTAAATGTAGAACAATGATTACGATAGTGACAAACGCAGACTGATAGAACGGTATTTTCTTCACAACCCATTACATCAAGAAGTGTAGCAAATTGTGATGTAGCTTTCTAAATGGTGAATAGTGCTTGATAAAAATATAAAACAAATACAAATATTTATAAAATAGTCACACTTAAAACTTTTTAGTGTTTACTAAACTATGTTTAAAATACTGTGTTTCTATGAAGAATGAATTAAATCTGTGTAATTGCATAATGATTCATAGACTTGTCAGCTATTTCAATATTTGGTGAGACATTTGATAGTTTTGTGGGATGTGGGACAATTCTGCCTCAGGCAGTGTTCTCATACACTTTGCAGGACAGTTAGCATTCTCAGACACCACTAAGTGCTAGTGACACTGTGATACCAAAAATGCCCCCGTAGAATAAGAGCAACTCTGTCTTCTCATCAAAGTCTTAAAACTGTCAGATTAACATATTTTCTCTAAAATGCAGAAAAAGTCAAGATAAAAGACAAACCACAAACTAGCAGAAAAATATTTGCAAAAGACACATCTGATAAAGGACTGTTATCCAAAATATGCAAAGAATTTGAAAAAGTTAGTAAGAAAATGCACAACCCAATTTAAAAATGGGACAAAGACCTGAACAAACACATCAGAGAAGACATCCAGATGGCAAACAAACATATGAAAAGATTCTCTACATCACTGGTCATCAAAGAAATGCAAATTAAAACAATAAGATGAGTACATACCTATTAGAATGGCCAAAATCCAAAACACTGACAATGCCAAATGCTGGTGAGCACGTGGAGCAACAGGAACTCTCATTCATTGCTGGTGGAGACACAAAATGGTACAGACTTTTCAGAAGAGATTGTCAATTTCTTACAAAACTAAACATACTCTAACCATACAATTCAGAAATCATGCTCTTTGGTATTTACCCAACTGAGTTGAAAACTTATGTCCACACACAAAAAAACTGCTCAGCAGTTTTACAGCAGCTTCATTATTTCCAAAATATGGAATCAACCAAGATGTCTTTCCATAGGTGAATAGAAAAATAAATTGTGGTACATCCAAACAATGGAATGTTATTTGATGCTAAAAAATAAATGAGCCATCAAGCCATGAAAAGACATGGAGGAAACTGAAATACACATTGTTAGGTGAAAGAAGTCAATCTGAAAAAGCTATATACTGTATGATTCCAACCATATGACATTTTGAAAAGACAAAAGCACAGACAGTAAAAAGACACTGCTTGGCAGAGGTTGGTAGATGAATAGGTGGAGAACAGAGGACTTTTAGGACAGTGAAATCACTCTGCATAATGCTATAATGATGGATACATGTCATCATACACTTGTCCAAATCCACAGACTGTATAATATTAATGGTGAACCTTAATATAAATTATGAACTTTGAATAACAATGTTGTATGTATGTCAGTTCATCAACTGTAACAAATCTCATGGAGGATATTAATAGATAATGGGGGAGGCTATGTACATGTAGCAATAGGGAGAATATGGGAGATCTTACCTTTCAATTTTGCTGTAAACCTAGAACTGCTTTAAAATAATTAAATAAAAAAAGGGTGGTAAACTTTCAAAGAGTTTAAACATGATAAAACAAAAGATATACCTTAAAAATCCGTAAGAATAGATATTCAAATTCCTAGATAATATATAAAACACATATTATCCAGAAAATTGACTACTTACCCTTCTCATTGCCTAGCTTCAATTTTCACTGCTATTTTATCTTCATTTTCTCTGTATCCATATACTTCTTATTTTTAAGTAAGTTCTAGTCACCCCTATTAATATAAAACAAACTTACTTCCATTGTCCCCTCTAGCTGTCTTCCTCTGCTCTCTATAGACCAAGTGCTTGAGAGACTGGCCTCTGCTGCCTTCAATTTCTCACTGCCTATCACTAAGGTATCTGGTGTCTGTTACAGGCAGGCTCCTAAAACGACTCATTACAGTCACTAATTATCTTCTAATAGCTTTTTCTCAGTCCTCATCCTATTTATCTTTCTGTAGTATTTTGTCTATTATTGTTCTTTCAGCCATAATAATTGCTGGGCATTTACTATGAATATTTACTAAGGACCCAGCACTATGCTAAGTGCATCACATATACTATCCTCTAAAGTCGTTATTATTCTTTTACACATGAGGACACTGAGACATCGTGAGATTAACTTGTGCACTGTCACATAGCTGTTAAGCTTTACACTGGGTTAGGTTGACCCCCTAAACTGGCTTCCTTAGCCACTCCTGATAATGAATATGCAGTTATCGTAGGAGATTCAGAAAATGGAGGACAGTGCTATTATGGGTTAAATTGTGCCCTCCAACCCCCACCGCTCCCAACCCACCTGCAAAGATGTGCCGAAGACCTAACCCTTGGCACCTGTAAATATGACCTTATTTGGAAATAGAGTCTTTGCAGATACACTCATGTCAAGATTAGGTCACTTGGGTGGGTTCTATTGCAATACGACTAGTGTTCTTCTAAGAAGAGGAAAGCTTGAGCACACAGATAAACAGCTTGTCAAGAAAGACAAGTAGAACGCTATGTGAAGACATGATTAGAGCAATGCAGCTGCAAGCCAAAGGATCCAGAGATTGCCGGCAAACCACCAGAAGCTACAAAGAGGCAAGGAATGGTTCCCCTACAGGTGTCGGGGGGGGGAGCAGAGAACTGCCAACACCTTGATTTTAGGCTTCCAGCTTCCAGGAACTGGGAGAGAATAAGTTTCTGTTGTTTTAATAGTTTGTGGTACTTCATTATGGCAGTCCTATGAAACGAATACACATACAACCAGAAATATAAAACAATACTCCCTTCACTGTTAACACTGTGATATATTTATGTCTAGTCTTTTTCTGTGTGTGCATTCATTTAAAAAATAGGTGTTACCGTTGAATATTCAGTTCAGAATCTTGCTTAAGTTAAAATTCTAAGAGGATTTCCCCAACTTATTAAAATATATACAAAATTCATAACTATATTTCTTTGTATGAATGTATCATTTATTTAACCATTTATTATTGGGTGTTTTAGTTATTCCCAATGATAACTGATAATCTTTATATCTAAATCTGTCCATATTTGTGAAATACTTCTATAAACTCGTTGGGAGAAGTGGAATTGCTCATCAAATGATACATTGTTTATGTCTCTTTCCCTGATTCTCTTCAGCAAACCAGCTGACTGTGGTTTAGCTTGTGTTTCTCAAGATACCAGGCCCCACTTTATTGTTCATCACCAAAAATGCACTGTTTCTGAGAATACCCTTGGACTTGAACTTCCCCACACTGTTTTAAATCAAGTTAGTTCCTTAGGGAGAGCTTCAAGACTCTCTGCCTAAAGGCCTGTGTATACCTCTGAGCAAAATCCCTGGGACACTGCTCTGAGGCTGGGGGAAGAGAGCGGCCTGTTTCTTTCGGGTACCTGCTTCTCTGGGAGTGATTATCTGCTTTAGGAGCAGGGCAGTGGGTGGAGGCAGCAGCCTCTGATTCCAGCGTCTCTTAGTTCTTTCTAGCACAGAGCCTCCCCTCTGCTAACCAGGTGGGTAAGGACAGTCATGGCCCCAATATTATGCACCTGAGGTCAAGCATCCACCCTGTGAACGGGGGACAGACGGAAGAGAACGCCCAACCTCTCAGCTGTAATCACTTGGGATTTAGCCTCTCCAACATGGCGCTGTAAAGATGAGACGTTCTCATCTCCTGCTCCTCCCAGGAAGCTATCTGGCCCTGGGCTGGGAGCTGGGGAGAGAGGGGACCCTGGGTTCTCGACTGTACTCACCGGAAGCTTCTATCACACACAGCTGAGAGAGCGAGGAGGTTATAATTCAAATTCCACAGACTCCTGCTGTTCTGAGTTAGAGTAGACTTTCTCGCATAAATGTTTCTTCATTTGCTGTATACTCTTGCTACCGAATCAGGTTCGTCCTGCCGGACTCACAGTAAGCCAAAGGCTAAGCCGCGGAGGCATGCAGCAAAGAGAGGGCGTCCACACAAGGCAGCCAAGCGAGGAGGTGGAAACACAAGCAGCTCTCCCTCCGCAGAGGCGAGCGCGCGGGTGCTTATGGGATAACGGAGAGAAGCTGGGCCGTCTGCAGCGCGGGGGGCGTGGGAAGGGTGATTGGAAAAAGGTGCGTTAATCGTCCTCCTGCAGCCTTCTGCGCAGGCGTAACTAGGCTACAGGCCTCGAACCATCTGAGGGTGGAGTTTCCAGCCTCTGACGTCAAAGGTCACCGGGCAGTCGCGCATGCCTAGTTGGAGGGCCGGTGGTCAACCAACTCAGCTCAAACTAGGCACAGCTGACCCCAAATTCCTGGAAAATAACTCGGGCAGGTATCTTATTGTTTATGCTACGTTTTGCTTGGAGGACAAGCAAGTCTTAAAAACAACCTTGATTAGTGAAAGCAGATGAAATGGATTTGAGTAACCATTACCCATAGTTTGGCTCTTCTGACAATTTACAGAGACTTCAAGTAGCAGCTTTTTCAGTATTCTCCACCAGCTATACTTGTTTCGTCCGCGAGCAGGTCACATAGTTTTTCAATTCCATTCCATAAGTAGAACTCCCAACGTATACTTCATGTATTATTTTGATTAACCTCCAATACTAAAAAGTTTCAAATCATCAAAAATATTAAAAAGTAATTTTTTAAAACAGTCTAAGACAGCATTATAGGGGTTGCCACAGCCCTCTGTTAATGCTGAGATGGAGTAATAATCTTTCTGTGTCCAAAGAGGAGCTCTAAGTTTGTCCAAAGTTAGAGCTGGACCCTCTGGGACTGAGTGGGGTAACTCACACAGCCTGCTGTGGATGTGACCGGAGACAAGACTGGTGGGTGCCTCAGAGGATGCCGGCATAGACATGACCACTGAAGACTGATGTTCACCTGTGCCTTGGTGCTAAATAAGCCTGTAGAACCTGGATGCTGCCATCTTAAATTTCTAACATTTGGCAGAAGAGGGGATTGGGGAAAAACCTGAGTTCATAATAGTGCTGTTCTTGCATTGTGAACTAGGATTTAGGTCTGTAAACATGTAGGCAATTCTTTTGACAAATCTAGTTGAAGGGAGAGAGCTGAGGGAGAGAAAGGGGGGTGGATAAATAGGAGAGGTTTTGTTTTTGCCTTTTAAGTGAGAGCTTAGGGCATGCTTAAGTGCTCATGGGAAGGATCTGCTTCAGCAGGAAAGGCTAAGGATACCAAGGAAAGGAGATAATTGATAGCATGTGGTTCCTGAGGCTGGGGAGGGGAACAGCTTCTTTATTATTGGAAAGACAGCTGGGAACTGGTGTAAATCCGGTTTAGTTTGTTACATTTGGTGGCTAAAATATGAGCGTATATATAACTGAAGGCTTCCTTTTTCTGTGTGAAGTAGGAACAAAAGTGGCCTTCCAAGAGAGAAGAATTGGTTAAAAGTCTGAGTGGAGAAAGTTTGACGGGTCACTAAAGGGGCAAAAAGAATGAGCTGACCAGCGAAGAGGTTCAGACTGCTGGGCAGGGTGGAGGAGTCCAGACAGGCTATGGCTTCTGGGTGCAGAAGACACTAGTTAATCTGACACTATAATTTTTCTTCAGCTGTGATCAGCTGCCCTAGGGTAGGGATGGAGAAGACCAATAGGATCATCTAGGGCTGGGATTATACTAGAAAAGAACTGCTCAGAATCTCTTCATATATTTTGAAAAGATGCCTCTTATACAGCTGTTCTCTCTTTTAAATTTTGTTATCTATTTCCCACCCCTTTGATAATTGTTTTTATATCCCCTGGCTCTTTTCCAGGTATCCCATTATCTTTTACAAATTAGAGAGGCAATAACGTGCAGTGATTAAGACAGGACTTCTGGCACCAGTCTGCTAAGTACAAATCTTACATCTAGCATTTACTTCCTGTGTGTTCTTAGACAAATCACATAGCACCTCTGTGCTTCAGTTTCCTCATCTGTAAAGTGGATGGAGTGCTAATATTAGCATCCTCCCACACCTTGGAGGATTGCTTTGAGGATTAAATAAGCTAATGTATGTACTATGCTGACTATGACTTGTAATTTAAATAAGCTGGGAGCAGAATGAGATAGGAAAGATTACATTCTAGCCTTTATGTACTAAGTTTTATTTAGTACATCCCAATATTTCATAGCTTCTCTTTCCTCTTTTCCCACAAAGTCATAAGGAAAGGTCTAAGTCTTATTTGAGAGTTATTCTCATCTTTTGTTCAAGGCACTAATTTTTGTCTCTACGTATTTACAACTAAACCAGATTGGTTCCTGGCATTTATTTACCTACGTGTCTTTTTATTCCAAATCCATCTCCTCTCTTCGATAACCACTTCTAAAACTGCTGTAATTTTTCTTCCCCACAGGTAAATTGAAGAGTCCTGATTATGGCCAACTATTATAAAACTCAAAGCCCTCAATTAAGCTGTATGCCCCCTTAAGGTGGGTACTGTGTTTTCTACCTTTTAGTAGCCTTAGCATCCAGGAAGTTTCTCTACATAAAGTACAAAATAAAAACAGTAGGTGGTAATGATGGTGATGGATGACCGAGGTGGTGATGGTGATGATAGTACCGTAACTTCTCATCCTTGGTTTCCCTAGTCATTGATCTCTGTGGGGGCAACAGAGGGTGGGGAAGGGAATATGGGGCTCTGAGGTTCAAGTCTTAGTTCTATCACTGACCAGTTGTATAGCCTCAAATTTAAAAACAAACACAAGGCTGTAAATTGCTCAGTAACATTACCAACTTTCTGTCTCTCCTCTCCCATTCTTGCCAATCATAACTTTTAGAACCACTAACAAAACAATCTCCTCCCCAAGCCACCCCCTTCCTACAACTTCCTACCCTCTGCCTACGAAGAGTTAGGGTGGGAATTCCTGTTCTGCCTAAAGTCTTCATGCCACCACCTTGTCACTTCCAATCTCATGGATTTTCCCTTCAATCACCAGGCAGGTTTATGCCATGTCATGTTTATTTTTAAATACCTTCCTTCAGTTCTTCTCGGGCAATACCATATTTTGCAACATGCCCGCCTCCTTCCCCTAAGATCTCTAACTCTCTTTCTGCCTCTGTTCACAATTGCTGAATCCCCGCTCTAGGATACCTTTCATAATTGGAAGACTTTATCATTTTTCCCTAAATATCAGATGTGACTTCCATTTTCTCACAATGCTAAAAAGTACACAACTTTTTTGCCTTTAACAGGATATCTGTTAAATGTGAGTTCAGCTGCATTAAGTCTGTACGTGTTTTATAAGTGCTAAAGAGAGATGATCCCACCTACTTTGTACTACACTCAGTATAGCAAGATCAATTCAGATAATTTATAAACTTCCGATTGTGATGATGCCTTGAGAAAGAGAAACAATTAAAACACCTTTAGCTCTGACAAGAATCATATATTTCCATCTTTGATTACAAAATAATGACATACACTCATGTGTCACACAAAAAAATTAAATACTAATAAACATCTTTGAACACTTCATGAGGGAAAAAGTGTCCTTTTCACATTAAAATCTTTATATGAGAGCTGATGTTTCATAGTTTAAAGTACTTACTCAGTGAAGGCTGTGCAATATTGAAGAAAAGAGGGGCAAGATGGAGGAAAAGAAAGGGAGAAAACGCAAAAACATCTTTTAAAAATTCTGAGGAAATGATTCTATGTACAGTGGCATTTAATGTGAGAAATTTCACCCACACAAATCCTAAATTGTGCTTTTGAATTTTTTTTAAAAAGCATCTTTGTTTTGCACCTTTTTGAAGGTATTTCCAGCTTGATTGAAGTACCTCTCTGACTTTGTGCCTAGGTTATGAATACTCTTATTACATATAATAATCTCACAGCCATTCTCCTTTCAAATAAAGAACACATTATTTTAGATGTCTTGTCTATAGAGTAACCACTTTTTTTTTAAACAAATGTTCCCAACCTTCCAAATGTAAGAGAACATGATCTTCTTGGAGACCTTTATGCTTCTTCCAAGAATGCAGCCACTTCTCAAAAAATTTTTTGAATTCTTTAGAATCATCTTCGGTTAGTCAAAAGCTACATAGGATAGCCAAGTTGGTTACTTTATAGACCTCTCATATATGTATATATGCATTACTCACCTGATTCAATCAACTTGACTTCAGATTACATTTGGTTGCATCCAAAAATCAAATTTACCTCCAAAGCAAAGATTTTTCTATCATGAAAATTATTTTTTAAGAATGTGGAAGCTTTCTCTGAGCAGAACTCCTAAATCATTAGAAACAAAAGTAGCATGTTAGAATAAAGTTAAAGACTCAAAGCTTCCAAGGCAGATAATATTGGGAGTCCAAGGGGGGGACATTAATTTCTAAGTATAATTCTAGAATACTTTTTCAAACAGCCACATTTCTTCATGTTCATACTTCTATTTGGGCCTCAAATGGTTGAATTTTATAGTAATAAACCACCTTTTCAAAATCCTAAAATGGGTTTAAGTAGTATATTAATTAAAATTTCCCACAAAGATTATAGGGGGAGGGTGAGGGGAGGGGGGAGGAAACGCACCAAAGTAAAGATAAGAATTTATACTCCTAACTTAAGCACCCAAAGCATGTGTCAGAGGTGCAAGTTCTAGAAATCTGAAGTTCTGTGGAATGCTGGTGATTTAGAGAGGCCTTCAAGCAATTTTTAAGGTCTCCATTCTTTCCTGGAACTCTACATATTTGAACAAATACCAGTTGCATTTAATAATTTTGTTTGTTTCACAGTGTGAGTTCTGTAATATTAGCTATTCAGTAATTGTGAATTTTATTTTTGTCACTTTTGGCACTTACAGTTCACAATGCTTGGTTGTGTGGTTTACGATTGTTTTAATTTTTGCATTTTACATTCCTTTGGGCACTTCTGAAGGAAGGGAAATTTTGTATGTTTTTGGGGGGAAGTGGTAAGCCTTCCTGTCTCTTTTAGTTTCGTTTTATGAAATACACGATTCTTCCCGGAATCCTGTGTTTTAAACGAAGTGGGTGAAAATTTGCCTTCACAAGCTGTGCAGCCCAACCCTTCTTAGAGACTGGTATCCCCGGGTACGGATTTAGGCTGTTTGGCCGCTTCTGTCACAGCCTCTGGTGGCCCCTCCCGGCAGAAAAGCACAACTGGATTTTTGCGAGCCCACATGGCCACATCCCCTCCCATAGCGCTGGTCGGCTTGGAAGAGGACGTCCGGCTGCAGGCCCCCAGGCGGTTAGTACAGCGATTTCGAAGGCGATTACGGCTTCTGGCCTGCAGAGCCCGGCCCTGGTTGGGCAGGAAAGCGTCCACATTCCTAGTCCGGTAGCCCTCTTCCCGGCTGCGTCCTAGGAGCATCGAAATGTTGGGGTTGCGAATGGCGTAGATGACAGGGTTGATGGCCCCATTGGCCCAGGTCAGCCAGACGGCCACCACGTTGAGGAACGAGGGGGCCTCCGTGGCCTGGGCCTGCCGGGCCGCAGCCAGCAGCACCAGGAAGCAGTAGGGCCCCCAGCAGCAGATGACGAAGACAATCATGATGAGCACAGTGGTGGCGGTGCGCACGTCGCTGAAGAAGCGCAGCACGCGCGCGTAAGTGGTCAGGGGCCGCACCCGCAGGTCGGACAGGCGCACGGTCTTGCAGATGTGGTAGTGGCAGAAGCACATGAGCAGGAAGGGCAGCAGGTAGCAGGCCACCACCAACCCCACGCTGTAGGCCGCGCCCAGCTGCGCGGGGTCTGGGGACGTCCGGTACAGGCAGCCGTGGAAGCTCTGCGCCGCCGGGGGCTCCTGGGGCGCGCGGAACAGCTCCCAGGGCAAGGAGGAGCCCAGGGCCGCCAGCCAGGCGCCCGCCAGCAGCTGCAGCGCGCGGCGGCGCCCAATCTTCTCCCGGGGCGGCCGCACGATGGCGCAGTAGCGGTCCAGCGAGATGAGGGCCACGCTGAGGGTGGACACGATGCCGAAGCACGAGCTGAAGAAGCGGCTGGCGGCGCAGAAACCGCGCCAGGGTCCCGCGGCGGCGGCGGGCGCCGGGCCTCCGGGCGGCGTAAAGAGGTCCAGGAAGGCGGCGGGCAGGCAGAGCAGCGCCGTGAGCAGATCCGACAGGGACAGGGACAGGATGAAGGCGTTGGTGACGGTGCGGAGCTGCCGGTGCTTCACGATCACCCCCATCACGGCGCAGTTGCCCAGGCTAGACAGCAGGAAGATGAGCAGGAGGACGAGCGCCTGGGCCGCCACTGCCGCCCCGTGCGACAACAGCGGCGCCGCCTCGGGGCCCAGCGGCAGCCTCCCCGCTGCCCCCGGCGCCCCGCGCCCTCCAAGGCCGCCGCCAGCCGGGGCGCCAGTGCTGTCGCCCCCGCTCCCGTCGCTCTGGTTCCCCAGCGCCGCGGCCGCCGCGGTGCTGAAGGAGAGCACGGCCGCCGCCGTCGCCGCGGAGGAAGTCCCGCCAGGCGTGCCGGCCACGGAGGGGGCGCCGGGGTGTGGGCTGCCCGACAAGGCCGTGCTCACCGCCGGGCGGACGGGCGGTGGCGGCGGCTGCTCCTCCATGGGGCCCCGCGGCGGCTGCAGGTCTGCTCATGCCGCACCGGGGAAGGCGGCCGCAAGCCCGAGGTGGCTCGGGGCCGGGGCTAGAGGCATCTGCCCGGAATGGGGCTCGACCGGAGGAGGGGTGGCAGTTGCCCCGGACCCTTTGGAGTCCTTGACGTGCGTTCCAGGCGTTGCCGAGGGAACCGCGTGTTTACGCAGCAACGCGGGGCGGGACGCCAGCCAAGTACCTTCCGAAAAGCCGGCCCAGGACCTCACCTCTCCCGGAGGTTACCCAGCCACGGGGCTGGGGGGCTGGGCTTCAGAGAGTGCCAGGTCGACCTCCTCAGGGACCACTGCTGGCCAAATAAATCTGGACGGGCCCTCATCTAGGTGACCAAATTCAACAAGGGTTCACTCTCAAGCTCTCCTGTTAAATACAAATGTCCTGTAGGGAGGCCTGGGGTGGGGAGTGGGAGTGCTTTGCTTCTTGTGGGTGTTTCTGGCATTTATAGGTAGGAAAGGAATCTAGAACCTGAAGTGGAAAATGACCCAAATCCGGAGATCTTAAACTTGAGGGGGCAGAGAATTTTAAGCAAGTTGTCCTCAACCTTGAGGGTGCAACAGAATCACCTAGAAGGTGTGTTAAAACACAAGTAACTGGGCCCAACGCCAGAGGTTCAGATTCAGTAGGTCTGGGGTCCTGTCCCTGAATCTGCATTTCTAACAAGATGCTGGGTGGTGATGATGTTGCTGGTCCAAGGACCACAGCTGGAGAATCACTGATGTAGTGAACTTATTAAAATGCAGATTTACTGTCTGACTCCCAGGATTACTGAGGGTGGCCCCATGAATCTAAACCCCCATAGGTGATTCTGATACAGGTGCTCTGAGGAACTAGGATATGGATCTTGGAGAAAGGATGTCATGTTGTTTTCAGGGACCTCAAGACCATAACTGGCTCACACGTGTCAGGGGAGATGGGAAAGTGATTGGTTCCTTGCCCTGTGGGCAGCCTTCACCAGTTCTCTGGAATGTGGTATGCTTTGAGTCTAAGGTGCTGCTAGCCAGGCAGTCACCACAGATGCTGCTCCAGAATTCTGGCGGAGAGATGCAGGAATGGGAAGGGCTTGCCTGCCCAGGCTGCATCTCAAGTTTTGGGGCATGGCCTCTAATTGGGGGTGGGAAGTGGAGGGTGAGGGGGGTGATAAACACTCAAGTTCTCTAAAGCAGTGTTTGCAAAGTGTGGACCCAGGACCAGCAGCATCAGCATGACCTGGGAACTTGTTAGAAATGCAGATTCTCAGGTCCCACCCCAAATCTACTGAATCTGAAACTCCAGGGGTGAGGCCCAGCCACATGCCCTGCAAGTGATTCCAATGCACACTTGAGAAACATGATCTAAAAAATGACTAGTATACCCTCAGGTCTTAGAATCAATGATATTAGTATTTCGGGTGCTTAGTTCAGTGAGGAAAAATATCCTGCTGGAAACTTACAGTATAAATAGAAGTTCACTTAAGTGGTAAACTAAGACTGGGTTTCTCAGTCTCAGAGTTATTGGCACTTTGAACCAGATAATTCTTTGTTGTGAAGACTACCTGATGCATTGCCGGATGTTTAGCAGTATCCCTAGCCTCTATGCACAAGACGCCAGTAGTAACAACTAAAAATGTCTTCAGACATTGCCAAATGTCCCAGGGTAGAGGTGGGGGGGTAAACCTCAGCTGAGAACAACTGAATTAAGACAAAAGTATATAACAGATTAATTTAGCAAATCTCTATGCTAGGTTTTCAGAAACAACAAAGATAAAGATCCCAGACCAAAGAACCTTACAGTTTTAGGCAAACACAAATATATTTCAATGTCATAAACGTTGTTTAAAAATATGACTGTAAGAAGAGTATCTGGCAACTGGGAGACCAGTTAAGAAAAGGCATTGTAATGAAATGCCGGGGAGAAATGAAGGAGTCTGAACTAAGGCATTTACAGTGAGGAAGGAGAAGAGATTTTAAGGAGGTAGTATATGGATTAGGGTTGGTGGATATAAGCAATACAAAGAGCGAGCTCACCGTCTCGTTTAAGCAAAAGAGGAATTTACTGGAAGGATAGGGGAAGTCCAAAAGGATAGTTTAATAACCAGCCCCAAGAACAAGAGAAGTCAGGGCAGCTCTGCAGGCAGAGACAGCAGAAACAAATTGAAGGTGATCTCTTTGGAGCTTTATTGGAATAGGTCTGCTTTAACCATTTTTCAGACGTTATGTCATTTCCCTCAAGATCCCAGGTCCTGGAGGAGAGAGTCTGATTGGAAAGCTAGGGAGCAGAAAAAATTAAGAAGCAGATAAAGGGAAAAAAGCAAGGCAGGTTAAGTGATATATTTAACGAGGCATATTTGGCCAACTGAGAAATGAGCTATCTTTTGGGTTTTGTTTTGTTTTTCAGAAAAGAAGATAAGGTAATTTTCTCAGATCCTTCTCAGAAAACTTGCTATAATAATGAGATCAGCTCTATTCTTTACCTACAGATAGGGAGCTAAAAGGCTTCCTATGTATCTCAGAACTAAAAGGAGAAGCTGCCAGGTAGGGGAGACTCACCTGGAATGCCTGGGCCCAAAACGGTAATTCAAATGGATCGGTTACAACTGCGGTCCTCCTACCAGCAGCAGCAGCAGCAGCTGGGAGCTTGTCAGAAACGCTCCACCCTAGACCTGATAAATGAGAGCCTGCATCCTAAGATCCCCGGGTAATTCACACCTACGCTGAAGTATGAGAAGCGCTGTCCTAAGGAGGGATGGTATGGAATTTGTGGAATATGAGGGTTGAAGAGGAGGGTGCCCCAACTCTTACAGAGTCTTAGAGCAAAAAGCATTGCAAGTTCATGGTGAAGAGGAGATGGACCTGGGCCCACATGGTTGCAGCTGAGAGTGGGTACTAATGGGGACTGGGAACTAATCTATGGCCTGGAGAATCTCTGAGCTGCTCTGTGTCCGAGCTCTGCACCAAGGGACTAGAGGTTCCTGCTCTAAAATGTACCACACTTGCCTGCAAGAAGCAAGCAGCAGTGGCCACCATGGATTCCTTGAGTGACCAGTAAATCTGGTTGTTTGATCAGAGTTTCCAGTGAGTAACAAGATCAAAGCCAGACTGCAGTAATTGAATAGCAAATGGAAGATGAGAAAATGTACCCAATGAGCAGAGAGTGAGGAATCTAGGAGCCTGAACTGACTATGAAGGGAAGGAAATAGGGGTGAGAGATGGCAGGCTGAAGAGGGAAGGCAGACCAAGGGTGTTTGTTTCATTTTATTTATGATGATACTTGATAATTCCTTAGAGGAAGGAACCAGGGAGGGGAAGGAGGCTGCTTGAGAGAGGTTAAGTGATGAGGCAAGAGCCTTCGCAAGGATGGGAAGGGATAGATGTGAGCAGTATTTAGGAGAACAAACAGGGCTTTGTGACTGATGAGACGCATGGAGGTGAGAGTAGCAGGAGTTAATTCCCTTGTGGCTTTGACTCCACAGGAGACACAGTGAGGTACAGAAGGTATTCATAATGTTGCAAGGGTTTGGCTCTGATCTGGACTAGAATTTAGGAAGATTGGGGAAGTATCTATTTCTCAGTGCTCAAGAAATAGACCGTTTTTGTTTAAGTACTATATCCCAGAACAAGTTCTGGCTGTCCGATCTTAGAAGTAGAGGAAATGTTAGCAGGAAAATACTAGACTTGGGAGTCACAAGCCCTAGATTTACAGCCACAAATATTACCTGACAAGAGTTTTAACACGTGTGACTTTAATTTCTCTCATTTTTATGAATGAGATGAAAAACAGTGGCATAGCATGGGTGGGGCAGAGCGAGGGGTCTGCCCAGGCACAGGTGATCAGGGATGCCCTGTCTGTAGTGACCTTTAAAACAATAAGAAAACTGACTAAATGTCAGTCTATATTTTTATTATTGCCATGTACTGACAATTCTAAAGAAGGTCAGTGACACAATAGTCCCCACCCTTGGCAGCCATGGGATAACAGTACGAACTTCATAGTGTGTTTCATTAGAGCAGGGGATGTGTGCCTGTGCACGACAAAACGCTATAAAATGTAACTTTTAAACAATGTATATGTCTTTTTTTTTCCACTTAATGTGACTTGTGAAATTTGGAGAGAAAACAGTCACTCTGTTTTTATTAAAAAAAAAAAGTACAGCAAATCTCCCTATTCTGTAGAACATTTCTTGGTCACTGTAAGGATAGTGTTACTTTTTTGGAGGTAAGTGATTTCTTTACCACAGAATTTAATAGATAGTGGAAAACATTAGCTTTTGTGCAATTAATAGAGAAATCAAGAACATTACCTTTATAGGCTTCAATTTGGTCAGGAAGTTCAATCAGAGACCTAATAACTGGGTCTACATGGACTTGCTGGATGACACAGCCAGTTGACATTAATTAATTACTTCAGTGTCTGTAGGCTCAGGAAAAGAGATACTATTACTTCCCTCAAAAAAAGAGTCTCCTAATTATTGAATCACATATTGACTAATTTTTAATACTTCATTTTATAATGACTGATAATGCTCAAATTTTAACAGGCTCACAGACAATTAACTAGCAAGAATGCCAATAGTTAACACTTCTCTCATGTTTTAAATCTACCTGGTAGAGATGCAGTTGGTACAGATGAGACTCGCCTCGCTGTAGTGATTCACTGATTGACTCCTAGTGTGTAGCAGTATTTCAGTAATGCAATAAACAACCCCTCTTATAAGAGCCCTGAGATATATTAAAAGCCAGATCCTTGGTCTTCTCTCATGAGCTGATAAGACTTCAGTTACCTGGCTGCAGGAGCAGGGCTTGGCAGCGCTGAGGGCATCCAGGCAGCAGCTATAACAACTTCTACCCAAAGCAGCTGCCCACCCCAGGCCTTCCCAGGTGATGGATGCTAAGTGCTGAGGACTTAATAATAATCCGTCTCCCTTGCATCCTGCTTAGAGAGAGGGCATTATTTTAGTCAAAAAAACAGAAGACTAAAACAATACGCCTTTAAGACCCATGGTTGTGAGGGCTGTAATTCAAACTGTTATTCAAAGAGCATTTAAAACAGAATACTACAGTAATTACCATGGAGTAATATTTTTAAAGTAACAAGAACTAAGATTTTAATTTTACCTGATGTGTTCATAATTAG